CACTGCTGGACATAAGTCTTCCTCATAAGGGGAGTTTTGCAAATAGTTGATAATCTTGGGCCGGGTTGGCAGCCGCAGTTAGGCTTTTAAAGATATTTTAAGAGGGACGCTGCTGCCCAACCCTGGCCTTCCCTTAGTCGCCTCTTACGACACCCACAGAAAAGGAAGGGGTGGCCTATTCTATGCCGGGACACACAAAGTGATATTTTTGCATGGCTAGCAAATAATATGGCTAAATATTCTCCCCTCACACTTGCACAGCGTCTTCTTAACAACATGCTTAAGAAGTATCCACATGTAGACTTATTCCATTACATTTTAATGTAACAACTACCTATTTAACTTACGTGTAATAACATCGAAAAATCTCGACTGGTTGTGGTATCAATTCGTGATCCTTACTCATGATCGACTGTGACGATGCTGCAAGCTGTAGGCTTGCAGCATCGCCACAGATAAGAAAGACGACTCGGGAATCGTTTTCTTACGATTTTCGGAGATTTCCCTTTGCTTGTGCCTTTGTTTCTTGCCAAAAGAAAAGAAAGACAATTATTATAAGGATTCCATTTTTCCTTTTGAGGCACGAAGTTATAAAAACAAGTAAATGAGCATTAAACACATGCATGTAAAAATATAGCTGAAATACCTATATATGAAATACCTATATACGATACGAGCTTTAAACAGCAGGGTCCAATGCACGTGACGTGTTGCATCTAGCGAGCAGCCATGCACCCAGTTTTATTAACGTGTCTACTTAATCCTGCAAACGCTTCCAGTCTGTCACTCGAATTAATGGGAAAACTATGGGGAAATGGGGTAAAAATAACACTGTAGACTACAGAGCGAAATCGAAACCGTTGCGTTTGTTTTTATAAGTGAAATTGAATATTTTCACGAAAGAAATATTTGGACAAAAATTTTTGAGAATTTAACACAATGGTTTCTATGGGGAACAACGTGGAAGTCGACGTAATAGGATATATTGCTGTTAATGGGGCTGTTAGACCCCATTACTAATAATCCCTTTCCCCCCATTAGATGGGATTTTTTAATGGATGATAATGGTGTGGTAACCCCGCCTACTCTATCGGTATACACCGGCGGGGCACCAGTGAGGGATAATAGGTGAAAATAAAAGAGCAGGTCAGTTAGCCCATCGTGATGAATATACCTGAAATTCAGCACGATAGTTTCCAGGGGGGACTACATGGAGGTCAACCTGATAAGATATATTGCTAGCAATGGGTCTGGTAGTCTGCATTACTAACAATCCCTTTCCCTCCTATCATTAGGTGGGTTAGCTTGTTTTTTTTATGCAACTTAGAATGGCAAACAAGTTAACAGCTCAACTGATGGAAAATGGTAACCGTCGCCTATAGACATGAGCAGTACCATGGACATAACAGAGTAACAGAGTATACGCCTATGATACCCCCCAAGCGTTGCCATTCCTAAGGACTTGAGTGTTGTTTCTCCGGACCCTGTAAATTCACTGTCGTATCCCACCCCGGAACACAGCCATGCAAACACAACTGTTTCACGATAAAAACACGAATGGTACAGAGGTGGCCATGCAAACGACTTTCGTACAAAGTTTGTCTTGTCTCGTTTGCCATTCTAAGTGTCATAAAAAAAACTAAGCCAATAATTTGCCAACACCAATAACACCCGGCGTTCAGGTGACGCGGAGTTTTAATAATTCAGGACGTTCCCCTCGAGCCGCAGCGTTACAGGCAACATACTTAACATTAACAACGCGGACTCACAAAGTCGACAAACGAAATAAATTCCGCATTATTGCGGACTTATCCGGATTAAACTGAATACGGAATGTTGGAGTGACAGCGCGGAATTACGGATGCTGCGCGTTTGAAATTAAATGTAGCCGTGGCCATAGGGTGGATGTGAGGAGGATATTCCTTTATTGACGTCATAATTCATGATTCTCATATCGAGCTTTATGCCCCGATTTTGCTTGTTCTTTTCGTAATGCGTACTGAAGTTTGAATGTTAAAATTCTCAAGAAGTCTTCTGGGAGAATCATTATTGTCGTATCGGCCGTTGTCTGTCCACTCAGACAAAGTAGCAGTCGAAAACTAGTCCACTGTGAAATAAAAAGCAATATTCTCCCAGATGCCATGTGATCCCGGAATAGAAGGTTACCCCTTCCTTTCCCGTGGGTATCGTAAGAGACTAAGGGAACTTAATCGAGGGACGGGCAGCAGTGTCCCTCTTAAAACCTCTCCAAAACCTATCTTGGGTTGCTAATCTTCCTGCCAATCGTAGTAAATACTGGCAATCCTCCCCCCCCCCCCCTCTTCAATAAGAGGAGACCTATGTTCAGCAGTGGACAGTTAACGACTGATATGATATTGTGATTGATTAAGGCGCAAAGTGTTAACAAACAAACAATCTCAATTTCACATTTATAATATTACTAATGATATCAAATTTATAATTTAATTTAAACGTTTTACATTTAAAATTAATTATCTTTAAACTAAAACATATTTAAATAATAATGAAATATGAATGAATTAAATTAATTGTAATTTAATTATTTACAACTCCAATGCAACAGATGAGCCGCGCTTGTCAATCATTCTCCATCCATCGTTAATGTTGGATTAATCGCTACAAAGTGAAATTATGTAATTAAGCTTCATAGATAGACAGATAGATAAATACTCTTTATTGTTTCCTCCAAAAGATTACAATAGTAAACTTATTATAAGTATAAACAATTACAAGAAATAATCAAAATGAGAAAACAATAGGCGACCTTATCGCTAAGAGCGATCTCTTGCAGGCAACCTTTGGATGGAGAGGAGTAATTATAAACAGTTTGATTGGAGGAACGATGACAATTCTTTCTAAAGTCGGTAAATCGATAAACTCACTTTTACATTTTAATTTCTATGTCTAAATATACTAACTGTCCCACTAAGGGTCTGGTCCTCAAGCTAGAATACCTTGTATTATAGGGAGCAAGGCATTCTAGTATTGCAGGCGTCCATAGACTCCAGTAACCGTTTACCATCAGGTGAACTGTATGTTTGTTTGCCACCATTGTGGTATAAAAAGAACAATATTTGGGGCGTAAGTCAGAACAGCCAGATCAGCCAGATCTGAGCCAATACAGAAGAGCTCGTTTCTTAATAACTGGGATCAACCGGTAATCGAAACGCAAAGCGAAGCGTCCACCACTGCGCTTCGGGGTCGTCGTAACTTATAATAATGACAATTCATGATCAATTTGGCGTGAATTTACAGGGTACAGAAGAATAACACCTGAGTCCTGAGGAATGGCAACGCATGGGGGGTATCATGGGCGAAACAGTATACTCTGTTATGTCCATGATACTGCTCATGTCTATAGGCGACGGTTACCACTTTACATCAGGTGGGCCGTCAGCTTGTTTGCCATTCTAAATTGTATTTAAAAAAGAAATTCAGATAATTTTATTCGCGTTAATTGCTTTAAAAAAGTAATTAATAAACATAAAAAGATATAAAAATCTTGAAAAACACCCTGCGAGTCGTCACCGCGCATAATTGCCGCGGAAATTCCTTGCAATTAGGCGGGCTTTAGCTTGTTTGTCAGAAAGACAATTAATTTTAACAAAACGTAAATACTGCATTATGAATCTGAAAATTTGCAATTCCATTCGGTTGTTTATTACTCTCGAGACGCTAAACAAATTTGTATGAAATTTAATACATGAATCCTACTACTGTCTTTTAATAAATGCAAGAGTTTATGAGGATATTTGAATGGATAGATGATTCATACTCTTTCATCCATAATAAAAAATTGTGTCTCACAAGAAAAAGACTTTAGTTCTGACAAAACTAGTTCTTCTGATCTAAATTTTTTTATACCACTGATTTGCCACCAACAAGCATACGGCCCACCCGATGGTAAGTGGTACTTACTACTAAACTACTAAATCAATTTTGACAGAATTTCTACGGGAGCAATCTGTAAGTATATACTTTCAAATAAAAAAAGAATTTTCCAAATTGGTTTGAAACCGAACAAGCGACGGTTACCACTTTCCATCAGGTGGGACGTCAGCTTGTTTGCCATTCTAAGTTGCATAACAACAATTTTGGACAATAATTTTTTTTTATTATAATTTATTAATTTATTTATTTGTTATAATAATAGTTTTTGTTAATTTTTGTTTAGTTTTTGTTAATTTGACAGCGGTTTCTATTTTAATACATAAATATTACATTTATGATCTATGAAACAAGATAAAATAATGGCTAACTCAACATCATCATGATAGATAGATAGATAGATAGATACTCTTTATTGTTTCCTCCAAAAGATTACAATAGCAAACTCATTATAGATACAAACAAATTACAAGAAATAATCACAATGAGAAAACAATGGGCGACCTTATCACTAAAAGCGATCTCTTGCAGGCAACCTTTGGATGGAGAGGAGTAATTATAAACAGTTTGAAATTAAATTAATTAATTAAATTAAATAATCGATTCTATAATTTAATTGGTTAAATTTTAGATTATATAGACAGAATGTTTCTACACAAAGGCCCCGAAAAAAAAAAAGAAAAATGATGTTGATGATGATGATGATTGATCATTATTATTAAATTAACTCAGTTTGTATTATATTATAAAATGCGATAAATCCTAAAAAAAAAAACAAACCCCACAGTATTCAATAAGAACAATAACCAAAATTTTAAACGTAAGAAAACAATCCGACCTAAAGCCCGAACTTTCCACAAACTCATCGGGGCCAATCGATCAGAAGCTACCATCAAAATGTTTACGTAAGACTTTTATCGTTAACCGTCGTTGCTTTGTGAAAATTAAAACTTTACTGTGTTTTAAAAAAAATTCAAAACTCGTACCAGAGTGTTTAGAAATTTTTCAGAATAGCTATAGATACATATAACATCAATTTCACGAATATAAATATACGATTGCATAAATTTGTTTTCCTTTTTTTGCCCCAGGGTAAAATTCGAAGCAACTTCAGACGACGACTACGCAGACTTCACTTGCGAAGCGAGGCACGAAGCTTTACAGCGAGATTCTCCGATGCGTAGCACTGTACAGCTGAGCGTGTTATGTAAGTACCCGTCTTTTTTTAAATTGGTAAAGAAGTAATTGAAAACTGATTAAATATTGAATGTAAAATAGCTAGATTACGTATTACATTCACGCTCACTTTTTTACTTTATCCGAGCTGTAAGTACTTTATAGTATTCTCAATTTCGTGTATAATATAGTATATGTCATATATGTGTAAGTATATTTGTTATTTATATATATTTATTCGTTTATATATGTAATTTTAGTATGTATGTATATCAATAATTACTAGTACCGCATTCGAGTATTCTAACACTTCCTTACGGTTGACTGGGAGAGAATGCTTTCAGCATTAAGTCAACCATGTACAAATATTTGTACTAATGAATAAATAAATAAATGTATCATTGACACGGATGGACATAGATGACGCAATTTTAAATTTACTTTAATTTTTTAACAGTTAAAAAAATTAACTAATTGACACAAGGCACAAAAATCATGAGACGTTTTTCGTTTATCCTTATTAAGATTATAAATCTAAAAGTGAGTCCATTTGTTATCTGTTAGCGCCTTAAAGGCTTAACCGATCACTTTAAAATTTGGTAAACACATACTATATGGAGTGAAGATGGATATATTTTTATCCCGGACAATAAAAGCTAGCCATAAGTACTTGTAATGTATGCTTACATTACAAGTGTTCACACATTTCTGTCTACAAAAGAAAACAGCAAATTTGTAGACGCATTAGATTCAAAATATTCTGCTGGGCCTCGAATTATTTCTCCATATACAAAACTGACAACTTCGATATATATAAAATTAATACGAAATGCACACGGAAATCATCCGTGTGGTCCTATCATGGAATAGGCCACCCCTTGCTTTACCATGGGTGTGGTAAGAGGCGACTAAGGTATTGCAAGGGATGGACAGCAGCGTCCCTCTTAAAATATTACCAGAGGGATACAATGTACAAAAGTCGATTGCTTGGGTACCTCTGTTTCATTCGTGTTTCAACCATGAAGCAGTTGTGTTTCGGTTTGAAGGGTGGGATATGGCGTGAATTTACTGAATAACACCTGAGTGCTCAGGAATGGCAACGCATGGGGGGTATCATGGGCGAAACAGTATACTCTGTTATGTCCATGGTACTGCTCATGTCTGTAGGCGACGGTTATCACTTTCCATCAGGTGAGCCGTCAGCTTGTTTGCCATTCTAAGTTGTATAAAAAAAAATATATCCAAAGCCTGACTGCGGTTGCCAATCCGCTTGCCAAGCGTGGCAATTACTGGCAAAACCCCCCTCATGGGGAACATTATGGCATTATCTTAATGCTAATTTGATGTTTATTGGCTCAGCATGTGGGCACGATCTAATTTAATGTAACTATTACAAAAATATCAACTACGCGGGTGACTTCTGTCAACATGTGTGTGTATGGAGGCGAAATTTTCGGTCACTGACCGCATGTTTTACTTGATTATTATATTAAATGACTACCAAAAGGAATAAGTTCTCAATTCGTCCGAACTGTTTATAATAATATGTACCTTATGTAATATTAGAATTTTGCGATATATATTTATTAAATTTAAATACACCTAGATAGTGATTTAAGGAAGCTTATGTATAGCAATGGACAGTTAAGGGACACTTTGTACAAAAGTCGATTGCTTGAGTACCTCTATCCCATTCGTGTTTCAACCGTGAAGCAGTTGTTTGCAAGGCTGTGTTTCGGTTTTAAGGGTGGGATATGGCGTGAATTTACTGGGTTTTTTTTTAAATGGATGATAATGGAATGGTAACCCCACCTGCGCTATCGGTATACACCGGCAGGGCACCAGTGAAGGATGATAGGTGAGGATGAAGTAGGTCAGTTAGCCCATCGTGACGAATACAACAAGAATTGTTCACGATGGTTTCCAGGGGGGAACCACGTGGAGGTCGACCTAATAAGGTATATTGCTAGCAATGGGGCTGTCAAACTCCATTGCTAACAATCCTTTTCCCCCCGAATTTACTGGGCACAGAGGAATAACATCTGAGTCCTCAGGAATGGCAACGCAAGGGGGGTATCATGGACGAAACAGTATACTCCGTTATGTCCATGGTACTGCTCATGTCTATAGGCGACGGTTACTACTTTTCATCAGGTGGGCCGTCAGCTCGTTTGCCATTCTAAGTTGTATAAAAAAAAAAGTTAAAAGCTAATATATGATTTTTATAAAGCTTTATAGAATTTGTATAGAAATATTGCCTAGTAAAATATTAGTAATAATTTAAGCAATACATTTCCAGGATCTGATATCATGAAACCATTATTTTTCGACTTTCATTGTCTCTGGCAATATGTAATTTCATATCAATTTGCCGCATCGAAAGCCATGTAATAAAATATCAATTTGTATTGACAATAATATAATACATTCGAATTCCCAGTATTCGTATGCCGTCTATGTCCCGGCCATAGAATGGGCCACACCTACCTTTCCCGCGCGTGTCGTAAGAGGCGACTAAAGGAGAACGAGCGATGGGCAGCGTTCCTCTTAAAAGTTACCAAAACCTAAGACAGCATTTTTTTTTTAATGGATGATAATGGAATGGTAATCCCACCCGTGCTATCGGTATACACCGGCGAGGTACCAGTGAAGGATGATAGGTGAGGATGAAGCAGGTCGGTTTGTTTGAATCGAAGCATTTGGCGTTCCATTGTTTCTGCCTACCCTAATGGGAGAGAGGCGTGACAGATATGTATGTATGTATGTATTATATACCTATCGTTAATATATGCAACTATGTTTTATATTAAAGAATAAATGGATTATATAAACATAAAAAGATGTTACCATCACGGATAATAGTTGTATTTGAAATTAAGTTGGGATAACAGAGATATTCTCTGTAAAATGTATTTTTGTTCTTAGTATTTCGTTGTGGTATAACTAATTTACTGTTTTCTTTTATTTAACTTATGTATCATTACCGTATAAACAAACTATTGTTTTGAATTAAGTGGGGAGAAATGGAGGGTAGTTTAATAGTTTATATTAAGACGGGTGGAGGAGATTTGTTTATTTTTTAATAAACCAGTTAGTAACTAACTGCATTGTTTCACTAACGGTACACTAACTACAGTTGCCAACCCGCCTGCCAAGCATGGCAACTATTTACAACCACTCTTTCGAATCAAATTTCAGTAGAAAGTAGTATTTCCGAACCGATACGACAACATAACCTTCAAGAAAAGAGCATATTCCTTTTTAAAAGGCCGACAGCACACCTGCAATGCCGCTAGTGTTGTGGGTGATCATGAGCGGCGGTAGTCACTTATCATCAGGTGAGCTGCATACTCGTTTGCCCCCTGTGTTATAAAAAAAACCATACATTGCAAATTATATGAAAGAATATAAAAAAGGAGTAACAATAATAGTTATTTATGGGTACCACTTATGCTAGGATTTCCTTATCTTAGGAGCGATTGCTCGACATCCTTAAGTGAGGTTAAGTGATTCACATCGTTAGTGTAAAAAGCCTGGCACGGTAATGACTGTGTGGTTTTATAGTTGGTGTTAGTAAAATATATTTACTAGAGACATAAAATAAGTATTTGTGTAAATAATAACAATTTGATTTTTTTTTTATTTATGTATACATACTTAGAATGGTAAACAAGCTGACGGTCCATCTGCAGGAAAGTGGTAACCGTCGCCTATACACATGAGCAGTACCATGGACATAACAGAGTATACTGTTTCGCCCATGATACCCCCCATGCGTTGCCATTTCTGAGGATTCTGGTGTTTTTCCTCTGTACCCAGTAAATTCACGCCATCAAGTTGGCGGTTAACCTGTTTGTCATTTTACGTACCCTAAAAAATTACTAACATCAAACCTACTACCAACAGAAGGTGAGACGGTCCCCTAAACCACTGTACCACCACGGTCGCCTAGTAAATTATTTATAGTCCAAACGTTCCCTTTTCTTGTTTTTGTTTTTATATCATAATCATAATGCTTTATCGTCCACGAAATTTTCAAAGATTTCTAATCTTTCGAATTTTTTTTCCCCTCTTTTTTCTTTCTATTTCTTTGACGAATTTATACATCCTTTGTCTCTTTTGTGAGCTTAATGAAATAATTTCTAATGAATCGGGAAAAATTGGAATGAAACTCCGAGAAATGGTCTTTGTAGAGAGAATATTAATTGGATCGTTTCGAATGGTTTTGTTTATTTTTGTTGAAAGTTTGCCGGTCAATTCGGAGCCATTAGTTTCAAGTATGTTACTTAACCACGTTTAACATATAGGTGGATATACAAACAGTTTATTACGGCAATAAATACAATAAATACATACATACAGGGGGAAAAGGGATTGTTAGTAATGGAGACTGAGAATCCTATTGCTAGCAATATACCCAACCAGGTTGACCTCCTCGCGGTTCTCCCTGGAAACTATCATGGTTAATTCCTGATGAATTCATCATGATGGGCTAACTGACCTTTTTTCATTCTCATCTATTTTACCCTTCACTAGTGCTCCGTCAGCGTATCCCGTTAGCGCAGGCGGTATTACCATACCATTTCTACCCATCAAAAAAAAATACATACATACATACATACACGTGTATAAGTACAATCCGGAAACAGGATGCTAAAAACATTTTTCTATCAAAGAGTTTAACAATTTGCAATATTTTATAAAGAATTGTCAAAAACATAACCCGGTAGCTCGGGGCATAGGGTTTTCATGATGGCGCCCGTACACCATTGCTTTTATTTCCATGACGTCATGTTACGTAACAAAATATAATGTTTTTGTTATAAAAACGCTTTGCTATATTTCCTCGGCAAATTTGTAAGCTTAGTAGGGTTGGGATGTGTAAAAAATCGTCGATATTATTATCGATTCCGATATCGCCAGTTATTTTAAACGTTTTATTTAGTAAGCGCAGTGACGTATTTACCACTGTGCCACCTTGTAGGCATATTACAAGGTAAAAGGTATACTAGGGTAGTATACCTACTAACC